GTGACGTCACCTGCAACAGCACCAGCTGCAACTGCTGTTGCTGCGGCTGCTGCACCATCTGGCACATTAAGGAGAGCAGCTTCAGCATCACCGGGAGACTCTTTCATGTGTGAAGCATGCCAGCCGTACTCACACTGCCTGCTGCACATTGTGGTTGTCTGAGCTTGCCGATCAGTGCATTCTTGCTTGCATCACCCACACATCAAGCGACTGCATGCTGCCAAGCACCCTCTCTTGTAGCGCAGCAGCTTCACAGAAGCCGCAAGTGCCAGGCCTTGCAACGGCGTGCAGCCATCAGCAGGAACAGCGCTGCTGCTGCCTGCCGCATCAGCTGCTGCTCCAAGGGCGGGAGAGGGCTGAGGGCTGAAGCTGGCACCCTCTCCTGGAAGCTAAAAGGCAGCAGCGTGATTGCATCAAGGCTCTAGATCTAGCTGGAGGCTGGTCACCAGGCAGTGCCAATGCATTGTCTTTCCTGCCTAAGCCTGCGTTCCAGGCCGCATGCCGCTGCTTCAACCTGGCTTCGGCCTGGATTCCGCTTCAGCAAGCCTTGGACGCGTAACAGGTTCTTGCGCTGCAACCCTCTTGTGATTTCTTTTGATCTCGAAAAGGGTGACATTCAGTGTGACCTGCTGTAACTGCCAAAACTGATAGATATGATTCGGCCTGTCCTGGTGAGGCACCAAAATAATATCCTTGTCGCTCAAGCGTTATGTAGGCGTAGGCGATCAAATGCATGGTTGATCTGGGTGCAACTCATGTTGCGCAGAACTGCGTGTTCCCTCCTGCCAAGCTATGCTCGTGCCTTTTTCAGTAACGCACGTAAAACATATGTTTGCATCGTTTGTGCTGGGCACAATGTGCTTGTTGCAGCCCTGCTGCTGGCAAGGCAGGTCCTGAAGGCAAGGCGCTTCTGCTGTGGGCCAGCCAGACAGCCTATCAACAGCAGGCTACACAAGCACGGCAATGATCCTTGTGCAAGGCCGGATCTGGTTCCACTTCAGTTCTGTGCAGAGTGTTACACGGCAAAACACCAGCTTGCACAGGTTCTCACATGTGTGTTTATGCATCTGTGTCATCAGCTTCCCTGCACACAGACACATGCATGTAGTGCTGTGAATTCATCCACTTGCACTTTAATTTGCAACTCTCTTTCAGGTTGAAAGACAGAGTATCCCTTGGCCAAAGTGCCAGGCTTGAGTCACAGCACAGGTGACAGTGCTCGCAGTAGCAAAGGCACCACCAGCTGCAAGCAGCAGCATCATCCTTTCACACTGTGACCTTTACTTTTGACACATCCAGACTCTGCGCGTCGAGCATGTGCTTTCAACAACACTTTCATGCATTGCATTGCAACAGCCAGCACAGCAATGGCTCAATTTGCCAGTGCTGATGAGTCAATGCCCCTCCCTGCACATGAGCAAGCTTATCCACCAGCGCCCTTGTGCCAGCACAGCATCGAGCATGCAAAACAAATGCATAATTCATCTGTGCCGTGAGCTCAGGCCCACTGTTGCTTCGCTGGCTTGTTGCTGCTGTTGTGCTTGCAGGAGCGTACTTGCTGGGCGTGATGCCGCCGGAGCTCATGCAGGTGCGCGCGGCACCATGCGGGACACAGCCCAGCACTGCCCGCAAAGGTGTCGGCATGGGTGAAACGGCCTGCCAGCACTGCTTCCCAAGGCTTCAACCGCAAGCAGCCTGTGTGCTGGCAGTGGTGCCGTATCTGCACCCGTGCAGTGATGCCTGCATTCCTCAGGCTGTGCCACTGAGCCCCCAGGTGTTGGGCCTGAAGCTGCCACTCAAGCACAGAGACCCCCACCACTACCTGCCAGCAACAGGTAGGCAGCCATGGAGCAAGCAGGGTCTGACCAAGCAAGCTCCTCGCCAGCCATCCAGCCAGCAAGCAAGCACGCAAGCAGCAGCACATGTCGCATTGGCGCAAACAGCATCATACCACGGCGGCAGCAGCAGCAGCAGCAGCAGCAGCTTGTGACGCGCATCAGTCCAGCATGTGCATGTGGCTCAGCATACAGAGCTGTGTCTGCTGCGTCTGCACGGCTGAAGTTGATGAGGTGACCAAGCTGTGCATGCGCACCATTCTCGCCCGGGTATTGCAACGCCTGCAGTCAGGGATGCTACTCTGCTGTACCTCCTGCTGCTGCTGCTGCTGCTGCTGCTGCTGCTGCTGCTGCTGCTGCTGCTGCTGCTGCTGCTGCTGCTGCTGTGGTCACCTGCAGGCAGCCGCTACCTACTGTTTGGCTCCAACCAGGCGTCCATGCCCCAGCAGCTTGTGGACTTCTTCTCAGGAGACGACTGGCAGGCGCACAAGGCGCTGCAGGTGCGGCGCGATGCATCCAGCCGGCCGCTCCACCTGCTCGGCATGCGGCGTCCCATGGCTGCACCCCTTGCGTTGGGTGCAACACCAAGCAAAATGGAAAAATGCTGGAAACTTGCTGACAACTGGCAACTGACAACTGGCAAAAGCCGCTGGCAGGGTGCATTCCTTGCTGTCATGATGTGTAAGCAGCTGAGTATCATGCAGCAGTGCAAGCCGAGTTTGCTGCGCTGCGTGCCACCTTTTGAGAGGGCGTTGCACCAACCATTAGGCTGTGCCGTTGTTCCTGACAGAGCTCTGGCAACCCAGACAGCCGTGCTGCTCTGCCCTGCTGTCTCCATTGTGCTTCGCAAGCAGGTCAACCTGCCTAAGTTGTGTTCATGCAGCGACGCAGCCGCCTGAGCAAAGCGCATGCTGTGCTGCCTGCAAGAGGCTGAGATGGATGCGCTGCGTGAGGACGTGGCCCCACCCGGCTGGCTGAGCCGCTGTCGCGGGAGGAGGCGGGTGAGCGCCACGTGCGCCCGGCGCTGCGCAGCGTGTTGTGGAGCTGTGCCGGCAGCCAGTGTCGCACTGCCTGGACAGGTGGGTCATGCCGTGTGCCGAGTTGTGCGCCTCTGTGCGCAGCTGCATGTTCCGCCAGTCACTTATGGTGGCTTGCGCAGCCACTTCCGCACTGCCTGGACAGGTGGGCGGTGCCAAGGGCTTGCTTGTGCCTCCGCTTCAGTGCGCAGTTGCGTTTCTGGCGTTCACCTGAGCAAACAGCCAGGGCCCAGCAACCTTGGCAGCTTGGCAGGCTGCATTGCACCGTGTGAGGGACCATTCAATACGTGTGGATGCTCCGCGATGCACTTCCACTCTGCATCATGTGCTTGACATCATGTGAGAGGACACGGCACTAGCATGCAGTACACTGGCAGCCCACCCAACCCCCCGCGTGGAAGCGAATGACTGCTGCTGCTCATGTGTGCAGGTTAGGCTTCCGCAGCGACCTGCTGCGCGCCATGTATGCCGTCACCGACGGCTTCAGCGGGCTGAACGGCACCTGGGACACACCTGGCACTGGCATGAACTTCATGGTGCACAACATGGTGAGCTTCGCAGTGTGGCAGCCACCCAGATGTCTGGGTGGCCTACAGCGTTGCTGGTCTCAGAGTGTCACATGGGACATGCGTGAGGCGTGGATCTTGAGGAGCTCCATGTTTGCACAGTGCAATGAGGGCCGATGCTCTGTTGAGTACCAATTGCTGCTTTGCCAAGGCATCAGGTGGCGTTGATGTTATGGATTTCCTGTCAAGGACGCTTGAGTTTGGTCACGCAGGTTACCAGCTTCCCCAAGTGCTGGTGAATAGCTGCTGCTGCTGCTGCTGCTGCTGCTGCTGCGCAGTGTAGGGTGCCCAACTCTGATGGCAGCTGCATGGTGGTGCAGGGGGCATGGGCGTGGTGACTCAGCAGCTGACCACAGCAGCCATGCAGGCAGGCACAGCATCCACACGGCAGCAGGTGCAGCAGACAGGAGGGCAGGCGGCAGAGCAACAGGTGTGCGTGCGTGTGTGCGCGGCTTGCCTCTGAGCGGTACTCTTTCCGCGCACGAATCCTCTATGCATCAGGCTCGGTGATCTGGTAACGGCCATTTGATGCTGCCTTGTTCGTGGGTGTCTGCTCTGTTTGAGTGGCACACGCCTGCACATGAAGTGATGAACACCACGCGGGAGTTGTGTGAGACTGCTTCAGGCGGCATCTGCTGACAGGCTTGACTGAAGCAGCTGGCATGCTTTTGTTGCGCGGCGGCTGCGCGGCGGGGTCGGGCGGGGCGTGCCACTGGCTGCGTGCAGGTGTGGTGCTGGGCGATGGCAGCCGGGTTGATGCGCGCTGCGTCGTGGTCGGCGCCGACCCCTTCAAACTGCGGGAGTTGGCAGGCCACGAGCAGCTCAGGTGGGCAAGCAGCATGTCAAAACTACACAGAACCTGAGGCCGTGTCATCCTGTACTCACTGTGGGTGGCCGGCTGTGCATGGGGCTGGCATGCTGCGCTCGCTGTCCTCATGATCCTGCTCGCATGCCAGTGTCACGCACTTGACATGGGCTGCTGCTGCTGATGCCGCTGCCGCCGTGTATTATTCCTCATGTAGCAATGTTTTAACACGTTCCTGGACTCACGCAACAAGGATGGAACCACAAGAAGGTGCGACACACGTCCAACCCCACTTTGGTGCTCTGCGCACAGCTCGTGATGCATACTGCTGCTGCTGCTGCTGCTGGCTGCTGCTGCTGCTGCTGCTGCTGCTGTGGGTGGCGCAGCACTGGGAGACAGCTCAACAGGGCCTGCCAGTCCCGAACAACGAGCCTCGTTCACCTGGTAGACTGGCACACCGGCCTCAGCAGCCACCCACCCCACATCTTCGACAGGCCGTGCCACTACTGCTGCTCGCAGCTCACCCTGGGCTTACAAGGCCTGCTGCGCATGAGTCATGCGCACGCATTGCAATACAATACAATACAATACAAAAACATTTACAGGATTGAAAACTGACCTCAGGCACTAGCCCAGCGAGCCGCTACTCCGCTCATGAGGTGATCGTAGTTGTACCCAGTCTTTCCTTCGTTGTTTGGGTGATTGAACCACCCGCGCAAGTCCGTCAATCCAGTTGCTTTTTATGCCCAGCCACGGGCGGTTGGACCAGGATTCGAACCTGGGTCTCCAGCATGCGATGCCGGTGTTTGATTGCACCACCCACACACCTGCTGCCCATGATTCTGCCTTATTTGTTGGCCACTGCAATTGACAACACTGCTGTTATGCTGCTGCGCCGGCGGCGGCGCTGCTGCTGCTGCTGCTGCTGCAGGTCAACTTGGCACTGAAGGGCCTGCCGCGGTTGCGCTGCCTGCCAGAAGCACATAGCCAGCACTGCACCACCACCCACCTGCTGACTGATGAGCAGCACGTGATGAAGGCGCTCAGCCAAGGCTTGGAAGATGTGCAGGCTGGGCGGCTGCCAAACTTCCCAATCATAGAGTGGTGGGTGGCGTCTTGTGCGGTGTTTGGGTGTGCATGCTCTTGGTGTGGTTGCCAGTGACTGTGGTGGAAGTTGCCACGGTGAAGCATTCCAGAGCTGGCGGATGTACACGCAATACGGCTGCCAGATCAACCATACAGTAGTGCCAGTGATCGGTGACACAGCATCAAGTGCGTATGGAGCTGCGGGTGTTCCATGGATTGGGTCGTGGTGTCCTGCTTTGCCTGCATGGAAGCCAGAGCGCAGGTACCACACTGGTGGTGGTGTGCATCGGGCCACCTCATGGTAACGCTCATTGAGCCTGCTGCTGTCATGTGTGTATCGTGTTTGCTGCAGGTACTTCCACACCACGAATGACCCTTCAGTGCAGGTGAGCTGCGATGATACCTCATGCCCCAGAATTAGCTTCCTGTAGTCAGCGTTGTGCGCCTACCAAGCAGCCCAGGTTCCAGTGGGGGCAGTGCCCGCCCTACATCTGCTCCTGCCGCTGCTGACACATGCCAACCCTGCTGCGGCTGCTGCCGTGAGGACGAGGCAGGCCGCTCCAGCACTGTCTCCTTGGGTGCGCCTCCTGCTGCTGACGCATGCCCAACACTGCTGCTGCTGCAGGACAAGGCGGGCCACCACAGCCGTGCGCTGTTTGTGCAGTGGGTGCCCTACCAGCTGGCCGGCACCACCTGGAGGCAGAAGAGGAGAAGTACAGGCGTCACCTGCTGGACATTGTCGACACATTTGCGCCGGGTGAGTGAGCAGCAGTGGCCGCAGGACACTCGTCCAAGGGAGTTGAGGGCTGTAGTGTTGGTGCTGCACAGGTCGGGCTTGCCATGCCATGGTCAAGCCAGGCTTGCCCAGAGCTTCTGCACACTGGTGGTGGCAAAGCCAGCAGGCCCTGGTGGCAACGCCAGCGGCTGGAGGATGCATATTATGAGGCGCGACAGCATCAAGCCCAGAGGTTAGGTTGACGCGTGTGTTGCCTGTGGGGCCGGTGGCATTGATGCTATTGCTTGAATGGGTGACATGATGACGATGATGATGAGCTTCTCAATGCTGCTTGCAGCAGTTCAAGTGGGGCGTCTAGGTCGGAGATCTTGTGGCGTTGCCTCAGCAAGGCTGTCCTCAAAGGGCATCCCCTGAGAAGTGCCTGAGGCCATCCCTGCGCCATCGTTCCGGTTTGCTTTATCTGTTGTGTTTTGGTCTCGCTTGCAGTCATGGACATGTTGAGCAAACACCATTGCTTTGAAAAGCACGCCACACTGCTGTGACAGCAATTGAGGCGGTTTAGGGAATGAGGGCGTCAGTTCACAGCGCGCTGCTGGTCACTTACGGATGCTTGCAATTCTGATGCAATTCCTTGCTCCTGTTCTGGTGTTGACATACTCAGTTGTGGATTTGGCGTGTAAGATTCGACTCGGCCTAAGCAAGGTTGTAAGCAGACTGCCTGATGGTTGTTCACCTAGCCGTTGCTCGTCCGAGCTGCAAGAGACACATATTACCTTGGTTTCTACTTTCATTGAGTTTAAGGGCAGCCTGTATGTGATCGCATCAAGCAGAGGGCGAATCTCGCCGCAGCACTGGACAATATGGCAGCCGATACAAGTGTCCCTGGCACATCATCTAGGAGAACCTGAGCAAAATTGCACGCGCCACAGCAACATGCTGCGCTGTGCAGCGGACCAGCAGCAGGACCATTCAAAACGCACAGCAACACACACTCGACCTCGGCTGGCTCACATGTACGTGTATTGCAGACGGCAGCTGCTGACAGGGTACGAGCAACATTCATGTAAGGTACAGGGATTTGCTTTGCCTATGTTTCAGGCCTGACCAAAAGGCAGCTGCAGACAGGTGGGACAGTGTCCAATATTGGCTGCAGGAGCTGCTGCTGTACCTAATGCAGCTGGCAGCCAGCTACGGCAGCGGCAACAGCACAGCAGGAGCAGCAGCCTTTGCACTCAGCAGCCTGCAAAAGCTTTGTGGCGCCCAAGATCACCGACACAGCCTGATCTTGGTGCAAGCTAGCAGCAAGCAGCTGCGGACGGCCAGAGGCTCTGTTGTAAGAAGGCCCATGCTGTGGCTTCGCTCCTGCTGCTGCTGCTGTTGCTTAGCTGCTGCTGCTGCTGCTGCTGCTGCGGCGGCGGCGGCGACGGCGGCAGCAAATTGCGCTGCAGCCGCAATGCAGGCGTTTGCCACTGCAGATGAGCGAGCAGCATGCGCCTCCAGGTGGGAAGCACCGCTGCGGCCAGCTGTTCACAGCACCTGCGCCTGAATGGTGATGCTGGCCTGCATGTGCCTGAGCCGTCAAACGGTGTTGTGCAGTGCATGTGTGGAGTGCGGTGTCTGTTACTTGCGCATGCCCAATTGGTGGCTGCTGGGGTTGGGGCAGATATGCTGACATGCTGTGCTGTGCTCCTAATGCTGTTGTCCTGCAGGCCGCTGGACAGCATCACCAACAGCAGCAACAGCAGCAGCGGTGCTTCAGCAGCAGCGGGTGCTGGGCTGCAGTGTGTGCTACACACAGCTGCTGCTTATATGCGCAACTGTGAGTGCTGCAGCAGGAATGCTTGGTCGCTTGGCTGCTGCAGGCCAAAGACAGCAGACAACAGGCGGGGCAGGACTGTGTGCAGCTGCAGCAGTCCTTGCTGTCGCTGCTAGGGAGTGGCAGCACCAGTAGTCAGTCGTTGAGCTAAAGCACAGCAGAAGGCCCATGCAGAAGCTGCTGTCAAGCGCCGGCATTGATAGCGGTCGCCTGCACCTGGACAGCAGTGGCAGTGGCAGCGGCAATCGCGCCGGCTGCAGCAGCCGGCAGCTTGGGGGCTGCACAGGCATGGGGCGTTGCACAGCAGCCGGCACGTCACCACTGGCACTGCTTTCCCAGACGTGGCGGGCAGCAAGGCGTCCACAGCCGGCTGCGGTTGCAGCTGCAGAGCATTTCTCAGGGGCAGGGATGTCGGGGACCGCACACGCTGTGTGAGCCGCGCGCGCCCGTGAGGCAGACGGGCAGCCGCACATAAATTCTGGCAGCAGCAGCAGCAGCAGCAGCCGCCTTGCAGAGGCGCAGCATGCTGAGCGCTATCAGCATTGGAGGGCAGCACGTGGCAGGGCGCACGCCAAAGCTGGCAAAGCAGCTTGACAAGTGAGTGTAGGCCTGCTGCTGCATATACTTGCTCACCTCACTTTATGTTTGCTTCCGCACATGAGCTCGGGGCGAGTAGCACGTTGGTACACGGTGCTGTTGGACGACATGCTTGTGCTGGCCGTGGGACCATGCACCTGGTGCACTTGCGTGTGTATGGCAGCAGGTGCTGCTGTCAGCAAAGTGACAGGGGCGGGGGGGGGGGGGGGGGCGCACAGTACTCAACCACACGTCATGTTCAACATGTGCTACCTTGTGTTTGCAGCGCTGCTTTGAGTTGCTGTGTGTTGTGTGCTGTGCAGGCTGCTGGCTATTGTTCTGGTAGTGCAGGGTGAGGACAGCAAACCTGCTTGGGCTGAGGCTGGCTTGTCTCAGTGGCTGTGCTGCGGGCGATGCTGCTGCTGGCTGCTGACTCACCAGCAAGCAAGCTGTGCAGATGGTGGCTGCATCAGCTGTGCGAAATATTTTGCGGTGAGTGGTGGGCGGAAGCACATTTATCGTGCCAAGTTCAGACTGCTGCTGGAGTTGTCAGACAGGACGTGCTTGAAGCCGAAATGGGTGTTAGCCTTGAACCGCAGCCCCTGCGGAGCCATCCCAGCAATATAAGTAGCGATCTATCCTGCGCATAGTAGTGAGCAGTGCTGTCCCTTGTTGCTACCAGCATTCTGTTCAGACGCGCAGCGAAACAACTTGAAGAGGTTGAGCAGCTTGCACATTTTCAACTGCACGCTCCTCAATCTGCTAAAATTTAAAGACTTGTTTACTTGAACCGTGTGTTTGAAGGCAGGATGCTGGCCTTTCAAGCCAGCCTTGTGATGGTGACCTTGGCCGTGGTGGTGCTTCTGGCCCGCTTCTTCCGGCCCATACGTGCTTCAAACGTTCATTTGGTAAGCGCGCCCTTTTTTTGCCTGTAAGCGCAGGATGGACAGGGCCTCATGCAGCAGTAAATCACCGCGCAGAACAGGAAGGCCTGGCACAGCTCGGTGCTGCCAGGCCCTGTACAGCAGCCGGGCATAAATGAGGCTAATCTCTGGCTTAAGCCATAATTATCTAGCGCTTGCGCGATCTGCCAGGGCGGTGTGAAAGCAGCTGTAACGAACTTGGTCATACATGCTCGCAACTGCATTTGCTGAAATGTGGAACTCACATAAGTTTTCTGCCTGTCATCTCTGGTTTGTTCCTGCAGGGCCAGGCTCGCCCGGACGCGTCTGGGACGCCCGCATGAACCATGCGGGCCAGCAATGACATTGGGATGCCCCTTCTACCGCCTTCCAAAGCATCCGGTGGGTAGCAGCTCCTGCTCCTTGCTGTTGCTGCTGTAGGCCCAGCTGGCATGGCAGCAGAGTGTTATGATTTGCCACAGTTGTTGCACAACGAACAGCGCAGTGGAGAAGCATAGACGCTGGATGATTCCTGCTGATCATTGCCAGCTGGTTGCACAGCTTCCTGCTTGCATCTAACTCCCCCATCTTGGCGATGGCGTCGCACTGCTGCTTTTCATCCTGTGCTGCTGCTGCTGTGCTGCCACTGCTGCTGCTGCTGCTGCTTGCAGGCCCCTGGGTGTCTGGTGGTGTTGCAGCACCATGTCTG